CTGTGCCTGTTACCATGGAGAACAGCTTTGGCCAGTGTAGCAGATGCAGTCCTTGTATAACAAGGAAGAAATACAGCTCCTCGTGGGTGGTGGGACAAAGAGGCTTTATTTCAAACTCGACGCGGTTTTATTCCTTAACACCATGTGACTTCTTTAACCAACCAGGTTACTTATGTCGGGGCATGCTCTCTTGGGTTTTTCTGCCTCGGCACATCCCTTGTGCCTTTAGACACGCCTCCCACAACACCCCTCTCCTAAATATCTAAAAGAAGTCATGAGAACAGTGTAAACAACAGTGAAAACAACAATTCAAACAATCAGAACATTGTAAACTGCCGAAGCTCGCAATGATCTAGCACATCGCTTGCTCGGCTTCTTATACTTCTATTGTAAACCTTTTTAAAACCTTCTTATATTCCTATAGGGTAGTGCAACTTGGAGGGAAAACTTTATTAACTTAGGGGTCTTATCTTAACTGTGTATAAACTTATAACTTTATTAATCTGAGGGTTTTTATAACTGGGAGATTCAACTTTATTTAAAAAACAGGATAAGCTTAGTAAAACTAAATTCTCTTAAATTGACCTTGTGGTGGAGGTAATGTTATTTTGTGAGGTGTTTTGTGTTTTAATATTTGACCAGTCAAACAACTCCATTCATTCACTCTTTTCATTCATCGGTGGCCACCGTCACTGACACACACACACACACATACACGCACATTTTACAGACTGCTTTTTACCATGTTGGTCATTTCCTAATGTAAACCTGAAACATAAACATAACTCTTCAAACTTCTGCGTTACTCTGGTTCCTGCTGCTGTGGGCATGTACTTGAATAGGGTTTTACACACCTGGAAGAAATCTGCTTAAGTTCTTTTCTTGTAACTACACAGGCATAGTTTTCTCCCCATGTCATAAAATCTAGGGATCTCGTCCATTGTTCTGAAATCAAATCTTTTACCATGACTAGTGGCTTGGGAGAGACAAACGTCTGAGGTTTGTGCTGCTTTTCAGACCTGCTTCTTTCAGCACTGTCACAATTCAAAAAATTGATAACATATATAGCCTTTTACAGATGTTCTTGCTGGCTACACAGATTCTCCCCCCATTTGTTTTAATCTAGTATGTGTTTCAATGTGTGATGTGCTTTTGCTTGTCTTATGGGTTAGTGTAGAATGCTTGTGACGTGAGAATTTTCCTATTTGATAGGAAGTAGCTGTTTCATTATTAATGTTAATCCATTTTAGAGTATCAAGGTTGCTAAGCAACTAAATAATTGTGTTTTACACTCTTGCGTTTTGTCTAGTGGAGCAGTGGCAGTTATGTTTTGTGGATGTGTATCTATTTGCATGTACATATTTCAATATGTCCAATTCAGAGATGTATATATCTGTTTGCCAGGTCTCATTTGCCATTAACTCTCTAGGGTTAACGCTTTCCTGAGATGGCATGGGTGTGATTTCCTGACAGTGTGGGCATACTTTGATAATGTAGATTTTATTAATCGTTATTTTGAATGGTCTCTTTAGGGAACGTGTATTCTGATGGAAAAATGAATGAGACAATTTGCTTGCTTTAGAACTCTGGGTATGGTGTTAAACAGTGCTGCTTTAGCAGCTTCTCAGTTTCTGTCAGTTATTGGCCCTGGTCTGTCAGCATGTGATTTTGTGTGTATTTGTATAGAAATCATACCTTCTGTAACTCACAGGAACCAAACAGAACGCATTTCAAACAACAGGTGAGGGTTAACAATATCTCAAGGAAATTAACTTTCAAGATAGGGTATTAACCTTATAGCATAATAGACATAGTCACAACATTAGAGGATTGTTCAGAAATTTTCCCAAGGCAATATGAATGGCAGTCAGTTCCAGAACTTGTATAGAAGCTTGGTTCATGCTCTGTAGTTTTTCCTACTGTTCTGTGGCAGGATTTATTCAAGTCACTGCAGTATTTTGTGTTTTTCTAGATGCATGCGTGAAGGCTCTTAAAGGTAAATTATTGATTTCTGCTCACAATCTGTGCTTAGGGAGATGGATTGAAATATTACCACCAAAACTTGCCAGGGCAGCTTGGAATCCTGCGTCCTCAGCTGTCATCCTATCCAAATTGTCCTTCGAAGCTGGAACGTTGGTAAAGGCAGGATCTCTTCCATCCAGTTCCCACAATCATGCTCTGCCTTTGATGACAAGCTTTGCAAACATCTAATTAACAGTTTATACAGATTTTAGGTGGTGCGGTGTGGCAGAAAGAGCCACTTAGAATTTGCAGTGGGTCTTGCCAGTCTGATCCCACTGAAACACAACTGCAATGGTTCATACCTGCTGGAAACAAGAACTAGGCAGATTTGCCTTTCAGGATTTCTCCTGTTTTGTCTGTTTTTTATCGCCTTGGCACAAATGTCTGACACCTGGTTTGCCTCTGCAGCTAGAGATTTGTCAGACTTTAGGTTGGAGCTCCCCTTTAGCAACACAAAGAGAGAGTGTAGGTCCCCTGTGGTTATGGTTAAAACAGGTTTTAAGCAATTGGCAGCTCCCTGAGGTGTAGAGGATTTGTTAGCAAGACAAGGACATATGGATATAGCTAAAGCTATGGATGAGCTGTTAGAGTATAGAACACGGCCTGTCTAGACCCGTGAGAAGATCTGGGATAGCAAGGCCATGGCAAGGCTACAGTGTTTTTGTGCCTGCTAGTTGGCTGGTAAACAGGACATTGTGATTAGCAAAACAAAAGCAACTGAGAGCCACCTGTGTCAACAAAAGAAGGGAGTAAAAGTGAAATCAACATTTAAGCAAGAACCAATAATGAGCTTAGCTTTTGCAATATGTATGAGCTAATTATAAAGCATATATTAAGCTGTTAGCAGTGATCAAAAAACGAAGTTTGCTGATTCTCATATTGAGCGTCCCTCTCTTCCCTCGTCGCGACATAATGGCGCCCGAAGCACGGGACGATACACAAGGATCCTGCTGAGTTGTGCACGGTTCCCGCGGTCCCCAAAGCTTGCACGGGGGCTAAGTTATATCTGCGGTCCCAGGGACTAAGTTGAATCTGCGGTCCCCGAAACCTGAACAGAGGTTAAATTAAATCTGCACTCCCCGAAGCCACGGTCCGACGCAGTAGCTGGTTGGTCTTGCAGCAGCACAAGAGGCAAAAGAGCTGGACTCCGTGCCCCAGGCGACCTCACAGGAGGGTCCTGGCCAACGACTTGTAAAGGGCTGCAACAGCGCGCTGAAGATTTATAGGTATGGAAAGACAAGTGGTGCTTTTATTACCCCAGTGCTTTTTAGAAAAGCGAGGACTTAAGGGTATAGATTTGAAAAAAGAATTATCAGGATTGCTTGCGGTGGGGGTTGCTAAAGGTTGTTTTGTGGACCCTAATACAGTTTTTGATGAAGGGGACAACTCTTAGCAAAAGAGGGATCTAATGTCGCATCTATATGGAAGTCTATCCTGCTTAAAAAAGAGAAAAATTAGACGAACTGGCTTTGCGACAGATGCTGCTTTCGTGTAAGGGCCAGGGATTTGAAGCGAACGCTGTAACTGCCTTTACTATCTCTACTCGGAAAGAACTTAGTGATAAGGTCTTTACTGCTGACTCTAAGGGAGAAAAAGTTGCTGCTTCCCTCCTTACAACTTGGCGATTGTTATCTGGAATAGTAAAAGACATTAAAGCACAGTTTGAGGACATTAGAATGCTACTAGATGCCATCATACGGAGAAATCATGCAAAAAGGGAGTCGAGCGGAGTTGAAGGGAGCCGGAGCGGGACCAGAGATCACGGAGCGGGGCCGGGGACAGCCGAGCGGCCCCGGCAAAATGAACGCGGTGCTAGCGTCTCGGCAGTGCATATCCAGGACGATCAGGGACGACGGCTGCGGCGTGAAAGTACTCTTGATGGACCGGGGATGAACTTTACGAACACTGTGACTGAGTTCCACCTTAAGACATTTCCAGCCTTTCATCTGAACTGTGCTGCGGGACTGCACCGCGCATTTGTGGCTGTGTTCACGGCGCTGGGTGCTTGCGCCGCCGTGCTGAGTGACCCCGGGGCGGTGCCGGGCGGCGGGGCATTGGCGGTGGCCGCGGTGCCATGCGCGGCCCCGGCTCGGAGCGGTGCACCCGCGCGCGTGCACGCCGGCGACCCCGGGCGCGGCGGGTGGCGGGGGGGCTCTGCTTCCCCCGCACTGCTGACAGCCATGGTCCCAAGAGGTGTAGGTTCCCCTCCCCTTCTTTACAGCGAATGTTTTTTCCCTGGTGCCACTCCTCTTCTTAGAGTGGCGAGTTAATGACGGTAGCAAAGGCTTCAGGAGGTGCAGTCGGGGGAGGGGGGGGAAGCTGTTTCTCTTTTTTCCTCGTTACACCAATCACCCCCTCTCTGAAACGTACCTGTTTGCAGCTGTTTTCTCCCTCTCCTATGTTTTTGTCTTTTCTTAAGCAGACCCTGTGATTAGGTTAAGTTCCTTCTGCTGATTTTCTCTGGGTGAGCCCGGCCCCTCCTCCTTCCTCCTTCGGCAATGAGGGGCTTGAGGGGGGCAAAGACGGTAAAGCACGGTAAAAAGGGAAAAGGGAAAAACAACTTAAAATTAACAATACCCCAACTTACAAATCAAATAAGATTGCACTGTTTTTACAGCAATAGGTGTTACGCATGCAGCGTGCTCATGGCATTCTCAAACGTTTTCTTCAAAAACAGAAAGGGAGACTGACGAAAAATCCCTTGAAGTAAGATTAGAAATAACACAACATCCGTGCTTAGCTTTTTATATATTGCAGAAAGTTGTTAGGAATTTCCTATAGTTTGCCATTCTGCTTCTCTTACATGAAATTTGGCTGTTTCCCCCGAGGGCAGAGTGCGGGTAGAAGGTTTGCAGACGGAACGATGAGACAAAAGGGGATATAGTTCTGCCCCCTGCAGAAGTAGTTTTATTGCCTTTATGACAGAATATCATTGCTCTATAAGAAGGGTTGAAAATTTCCAAGATAATATCCTGTTCTTTCTTGCCGCATTTGTCTTTTACATAGAGAGTTATGCAGGATTTGCAGATTGCTGTTGGCAGCTATGCCATAAATTTCCTTTGAATTATGAAACTGATAAGAAGTGCACAGCCAATGACTACTTGAAAATGTGTGTGTGTGAATGATGGATGTCTGAGGTGGCCACCTAAGAGTGTATGGAAAAAGATTGTGTGAAAGAGAAAAGCTACATGAATGTGTAACTGTGTAAACTCAAAAATAGTCTCCGTTGGTGTCGAGATTTTAACAAGGTGTTAAGACTGAAGTTAAATAAGAGATTCTTACAAAAATTTGGTATTCTATTACAGCCTTGTATGAAATTTATGCAAGTTAAGTCTCAGGTGGAGTTTTTCCACTGCTGATTGTTCCTTAACTGTGCGAGCTGCGCAGGAGACCACTAGTTTTAGAGCGAGTAAAAACCATAAGCCAGCAAACATTACTGCAGACTGCAAGGTTAGCAGAGCCCGGAGCAAGGTGCACCACTATGCATCCAGGTGCCCGGGAACCATTCTTACAATTCGTGGAAAAGCTGTAAGACGCTGTAGAGAAACAAGTTTTGTGACAGTTACAGAAGCTGCTAGTTACATAACTAGCTAGAGATAATGCAGGCTTGTGCCGGGGTGGGGTCCTTAGACCATCAAATAATTGCATTTGCATCTGCTATGGCAGTAGTGAGGGTCGTTTTGAGCTTTTCTGTGTTTTCCAGGATTTAAATCAGGAGTTGTCGATGTTGCTGCCTTGCTTGTTCAGCTCGTTGCAGGGGGGGCCCTTGCAGACTGTCAAGGCCATCCTGCGTGCCTTCTCAAAAACATCTGCAGTGTTGTGGATAGTGTGCCTTCAGGCCTCCTGGCTGGAGGCCAGAGCAGACCAGTTACCTTGATCAGTGTGACCAGAGCTGAAGTGTTGTTTTAAAGAGTCCTTATATATTGTCTTCAAACCCCTCCCATGCAACAGCTGGTAGCAATGTTCATTGTAAAACGGCTAGTCTCTCCTCCTTAAAACATGCCCTACTCATTGCAGCTGTGTTCTCAGCAAAATAGCCTCACTACTTGTGACTACTACTTGTTTCATACCAGACGTATTGCTTGCATAATTTGACTAGTGAATGTTTAGGGTTGTACGAAGGCAACCTGTACTCTTTGTGATGCTCAAAGCTTGCTGTTAATTGTCCAAACAAACAAACTTCTGTAGTCATTCTGTAGTCATTCTGTAGTCATTCCAAGGGTTAGGATTGTGATGCTGATTACATTGAACCGTCTCAGAATCCTTTAATTACCCCTGTGTTTGTGATAAAAAAAAAAAATAAAAAAAAATCTGTGAAATGAAAACTGTTGCATGATCTCAGACGGGTTGGTGCAGTCATGGTTAGTAAGCATTGGCTTACTGACCCCTTCTGTGCTTTCTGATGAATAACCCATTGATATTATTAATTTGACAGGTTATCTTTTCACAATCCAGTTAGATCCCAGTGATAGAGAAAAAATTTGCATTTTCAGTTCCATCTATTATTCGTGCAGAACCTTATGAGTGTTATCCATAGAAAACCCTCTCCCATGGAATGAAAAGCTTTTCTACAATTTGTCAGTGGTTTATGTTTCCAACATTATTCCCTGTACTAATGCAATTTTCTGACTGTCTTTTGTTGTTATTATATAGATGATATTTCTGATGGCTGTAGCCACTGAGGATCAGCTGGGTGTGTTGGACGCTGAAACCAAAAAGAGTCTGCAATTCTTTGGCCTAATAGTTGCTCCTGACACGGTGCAGTGAAAAATACCCTGGAAATATTTAGGGTTCACTACACAGAAAGCAGTCATTCCTCAACCAGTTCAATTGGGTGTTAATGTTAAAACTCTTACTGACATACAGTAGCTATTAAGGTCTTTGAATTAGATTGCATCGTACTTGCAATTACCAAACACCCAGCTGGCACCTCTATTTGACCTGCTCAAACATTCTGACAATTTTCAGGAGCAACAGTTGCAGGAGTGGGTGGTCTTACTCTGGTAAAAAGATCCCCTCCAATAACTATAACAGGTCAATCGTCCTTTTGTTTGTCTTTAGCATCTGCCTCAGATCCTTTTTGCACTTGTTTATTTAGCATGCCTTTTAGTTCGGTATACAAGTTGAACTTAGTGTTTACTGGTTGGGTTTCATCGTTGTGTGAGAGTGAGACAGTTATTTCTAATGCATCTGCCTGCCTTATAAAAGCTCTCAACACCTCTTTGCCCTAGGATCCCCAAGAGTTAGATTTAATGGGATCACTCTGTACGTGACACAAGTGGTAATGGGACTCAAACCTGTTTTATGTTGGGATTATTTCAATCTGGGTTAAGTGTTTATCAAAGCCACGACTTTTCTAGCTGGACTAATGTCACTTCACATACCCTAGGGTTTAATTACAAAAATACAGGAGGCTATCGTGGTACTAATAATAGTAACAACCAAGGCCTTGGAGCATATGGAGCTGAAGTAAGGCCTTCCTCTCCGGGCATTTGTGTTAACAACACTGCACGCGCTTTTCCACCAGGTGTGTTTCTTATTTATGGTGACACAGTAGCAACTAGTCCTATAGACTCGTGGCTTCAATCTGGTTTTGGTTCTATGTCTGAATAGGTTTTAAGTTTTGTTAAAGAAGGCCTACGATGGTTGTTGACAATTGTTGTAATTTTAGTAATAGTTCATGTTGCTTTTTCTTGTATTGTTAAACGTGTAAGTGCTATGGCAGAGAAAGTATTGTTGGCCTCAAATAAAAACGGGGGTATTGTAGAGGATTTGTTAGCAAGACAAGGACATATGGATATAGCTAAAGCTATGGATGAGCTGTTAGAGTATAGAACACAGCCTGTCTAGGCCCGTGAGAGGATCTGGGATAGCAAGGCCATGGCAAGGCTACAGTGTTTTTGTGCCTGCTAATTGGCTGGTAAACAGGACATTGTGATTAGCAAAACAAAAGCAACTGAGAGCCACCTGTGTCAACAAAAGAAGGGAGTAAAAGTGAAATCAACATTTAAGCAAGAACCAATAATGAGCTTAGCTTTTGCAATATGTATGAGCTAATTATAAAGCATATATTAAGCTGTTAGCAGTGATCAAAAAACGAAGTTTGCTGATTCTCATATTGAGCGTCCCTCTTTTCCCTCGTCGCGACACCTGAGGCTTCTGCAACTCGTGTAAATATGAAGTGTTTTTTACCTCGAGCTGTAGCAGCTGTGGAGAACTTTTTTGCTGCGTGGATTCCTGTCCAGGGCAAGTCGAGAGTTGTGGTTGCTGGATCCTTCCTGAAACAATCTGAAGTCTTGGATCTTGGACAATTTTGGTTAGAGCATTAAGAATGAATGGCAGTTCATTTCTTGTGGCCATGATTATTAATGTGTCCTCTGCATAATGATGTATTATGGCTGTTTGATACCTTATCGGGTTATTTTGCATCTCCTGAGGAAGGATAGCCCAGCAGTGACTTTGGATAGGTTGTGCATCGTTCAAAACCATGATGGGAAAGAAAAGCCCCTGGGCATCCTCAGGGTGAAGGAGGGTGGTAAAGGAATAGTTCTTTGAACCAGTTACCACTAGTGGCCAATTTGCTGGAAGCCTTATAGGTAGAGGCAGTCCAAGCTGCAAGGTTTCCACATGTTTTTTGACTGCGTGTTCTGCTCTTAACATTTGCAGTGTTTTCCACCTGTCACCTTTCTTGGGGGTGCAGAGTACATGGGTATTTTGGGGGCTGGTTATTGGCATATTGTGGCTTGCCTTAAGTTGTTTCCTCTCTTGCACATGAAAAGTGGTGCTAAAAAGGAGTACAGCTAGCAATGCCATTACAAGCAGTATGATGCTTGCAGCATATCCTTTGCCTTGCTTATGGCACCCTTGGTAGAACTCAGTCCATTCTCTGCTGCTAAGGTGCTTATGAAATGTTGCTATTAGGTGTTTTCAAGGGCAATCTTTCTGAGAGTGATCAGTGTCTCCACAACTAACACAACTAGCTGTGTGTCTGGCTTCTTTTTGTACTGTTATTTGGGCATCTGAGGCTGCAGCTAAAGAGGCAGGCTGGTGCTTCTCAGAGCTAGCTCTTTGGTAGGGTTGTACCAGCTCAATAATGTTGCAGTCTTCCCCTGCAGGAGGGGTTTGCAAAGCTCTTTCACAGCTTGTGTTTTCCTTTTCAAAAGTCAAGTGCTTATACAGCATCTCTCTGGCTTCATTGTATTCAACTTGCTTGTTTAAAGCAGACTGCAGCTGGTCTAAACATCTCAAATTTGGTTCACTACAACCTTGTAACCTTTTAATGGGGGACAAGTAATTATCTTGGTTTGTAGTGAGAATGTTTTCCATAGCTTTTAGGGCTTGCTTGGCTACTACGTCGCATATCTCTCTATGGTATTTTGATTGTGTATCTATTGAATTATAATTTCCATCCCCGCTTAATTGGTGTGCTGTGACGCCTGCCTGTGGGTATTTAATATAAGCAGAGCAATTTTTCTGAAAGTCAGCTAACCAGACTGTATATTGGGTGCCACTAAGAACTAATTTCATTAGTTCTTTCCAGTCATATGTGGTGAAAGAATAGATGGAACTCAATGCCTCCAAATACTTGAAAGTACTGGTTAAAGACATACCAGACTCTCTTACCAAATGCCTCAGGTTCTCTGTAGCCCCATACAGGGGCTGACGCTGAGGGGACTGGCTTTGGCTAATATCGTTTGGGCATGCCTGAATATTATTCAAGCTTCCCACCGAAGTGCCTTGTCTAGACGTTGCTCCCACATCCCCCCATTTGCCTTTTTGTTCCCTCCCGGTGGAACCATCTCTGGTTCCTTTTCCCCATCCCCCCACTCCTCCCCCCTTCCTCCAGTAAACCTGGTTCCCTGTGGGGGGTGGGGTGGTGGGCGGTGGGTAGGGGGAGGGGTTGCTTTCCCCTTTGTGTGTGTGGGTGGGGCGGGGCTGCGCCTGGGCCGGAAGAGGAGGGTTAGTGTTCGGTCGGTGTGGTGGGGAATATAGCTGCCGCCACACTGGGCCATGTGGTCGCTGTTCATCTGCTGCCTGGGTTAGTGAATATAGTGAGTCACGTCCCCCATGGCTGTAACAGAGCTCCCTGCATTGATCCCACGGGCGGGGGTCTTGCATTTCAGCTTTGTTCCTTCCCAGCGACTCGGGCTCTCCCGGCTCCCCTCTCCCGTCCCTGTCCCCGTATGTCTCGTGAGTTTCTATTACTATGTTACAAGTTTGGTAATTGCGTGTGTTTGTGTGTCTTGGTTCAGAATATGGTAAGATTTTAGCAGTAAAGTTAGTGTTTCAATGTCTCTGTGAGGTTTCTATGGAAACAAGCGTCTGTGTTACCTTATCTCTGGGTAGTTACCGGCGCACATGGCTGGAAGTTCTTTTGTGTAGCAGTTTCGGTTTGTGCGGCAGTCGTTTCTCTGAGGCTTTTCTTCTCGGCGTCTCTGCGGGGGTCCGGGTTTGCTCCGGCTGCGGCGGGGGGGGGGCGCGCGGCTGCTCCGACGGCGTGGGCGGCCGTGGCTGGGGGGGGCGGCTGCGGCGAGCGGCAGCCCCCGGCCCGGGGCGGGTTCGGCAGGGACTGGCTCGGCGACCGCGGGCCGGGGGGGCAACTGGGCTCCTCAGTGCGGGCTGCGAGCGGCGGGCGGTCGGCGCGGCGTCTCAGTCACGTGGCGGCGGGTGCCGGTGGCGTGTGGCGGCGGGCGGTCCTAGCGCCGGGCAGGATCGGCGCGGGCGGCTCGGCGGGCGGTGGCAGCGGCTCCGGGGTTCCCGCAGATCGCTGAGCGGTGCGGGGGTCGGGCGCTGTAGCGGGAAGGCGCGGCGCTTTCGGCAGGTCCCGGCGCGGTTCGGATGTGGCGCGGGGGGTTCGCGGTGCGGGTTTTAAGCCTGGCGCGGAACCGGTAAGGCAGCGGGGTGGCACGTGGGGTCCTATGGTCCCCAGAGCGTCCGGGGAAGCGGCACGGGGCAGCTTTGCTGCCTTTGCTCGGGTCTCCGTTGCTTTTTAGCTGCAGAGCGCCCGGTGGCAGCTCGCAAGGTATGCACAAAGCAGCTCCGAGCTCCCTTTGGCAGGGGCTAGGGCTGCAGTGTTGATAACTCACTCAGCTTCGCTGTCTCGCTGCCCGCTTCTGCCGCGTGGTCCTCGGTTCCTCTCTTCGCTGCTCACTATTCCGTTTCTTCGTTTTCTTTTCTTCTTTCTTTTCTTCTTTTCCTGTGCACTATTTCTAATATTTTTGGGGCTCACTAAACTAACTTTCTGTTTCTCAGATGCCACTGAGACAACGGTTTTAAAGACGTCTACGTTTTTTGTGGTTAAAAGACTCCCAAAGTCTGAATCCGAAAAATCAGTCCGAGAAACCGCTCAGAGAGTTTTTATCTTTAAGCAGCAAGGTATTTGTTTATTCAACGTTCGGAGCAAGCCAGCTCGCGCTGGACAAACTTGCTCAAAGGCTTCCCAGAGAATCAACGCTTTAATACAATTTTCAGATGTGATTAAATGCATATTCAAGTGATTACAACATCTATCTATGCATATTAATAATAGGCAGAGTATAGGTGGAGCTCAGGCGGGGCTTGGGGCGGTGCTTCTCTTGGTTCCCCATTTCGGAGGGGAGTTCCCATCTTCCTCCATGAGGCAGGGGGCTTCAACTCATCTTCCTCAGCTTGACCCTTCTTCTTTTCCATTGTTCTTGACCCGCTCACTGAAGCTTGGAAAAAGCCCTGGCTCCAGGCCTATTTCTCCTATTCAAATGTCTACCTGATCCTGTTATATTTCTAATTTATTGCCTCTAGGCCTATTACATGTTCTTGTACTATTCTCTGAAGCTTTGGTCCAGTAAGTAGAACAGAAGGAGCACAGATCGTTTTTGATGTTGGTAGCTCGTTTGCAGGCCCAAAGTTCTTAGTTAACTCTTTTGGACCTGGTCTCCTGTTTCATTCCCCCCTTTTTATTTATAACTTACGAATTCCTTTGTCAAGTTCCAATGGGTTTTGATAGGTATTTA